CATATATTAAGGTACAGGTGAAACCTTTTTGGTAGGTAACTCAGTTCCATAAACATTCATTAAGCACCAGCTCCATAGAGAAGTAGTGTGACATAATGGCTAGAGAGCCATCTGTCAAGCCAGGTAGGCCTGGATTTGAGGCCCGCCTCGGAAACACGCTGCCCCGGGGAACCTGGTCAAATACCGGGACCTCTCAGTGCTTGGGGAAACTTGCTGTGACTCTAGGGTGCAGAGAAGAACCCAAGGGCACAAAGGAGGGGTTTCCTTGCCCTCTTGATCTCCAGGCCCTGAGTCCCGGCTTGTATTAAGCTCTGTGCCAAGTGCCAAAGACAGACAAATCTTAGTTCAGACACAATCCCTGCTTCTATAGAGCTTAGGATCTCATAAGTAGATAGTTTTTAAAAAATAGATTTTATTGATATAGTTTTTACATTGTCTGCATTTCCCACTCTATTCTTCCCATCTCATAATAAAAGGATGAAGAAAAAAAACATTCTGCTCCAGCACACATCAGAGAGTATCCGGTCTTACGCAGGATTTGGGAGCCACACCCTTGGACTTCTGCAGGAGTCCGGGAGCTGTCTTCTCAACTCTGCTCTTTGGGGCCAGCTGGGGTCCTTTCCAATTCACAGCATTCCACTGGGATGGCTTTCCAGTTGTTCTCTCCATTTTAACGTGGGAGTCACGGCCGTGGCTTTCTTGGCTCCAGATCGGTTCATGAAGAGCTTTCCAGGGTCCCCTATTCATCACGTGTGTTGTTTCTTACACGACGTAAGATTCCATTATGTTCTCATGCCAGTTTGTGTAGCCATTCCCCAATGGATGGGCACCGGCTTTGTTTTCAGTTCTTTGCTACCATAAAAAGTGCTGCTACAAGTATTTTTGTATGTCTGTCTGTCACTGACTGCCTTAGGTTACAGGCCTAGCAGTGAAATCTCAGAGTCAAAGGGTGTGGCCATTTTAGTTACAGCATGATTCCAGATTGCTTTCCACTATGGTTGCACTGATTCACCACTTCACCAACAATGCGTTGTGTGTGACCATCTTTCCACCAACTCTCCAGCAACAATTATTCCCACCTTTTGTCATCTTTGCCAATTTGCTGGATGTGAGCTAAAACTTCAGGGCGGTTTTGATTTGTATTTTTCTTATAATCAGTGATTTGGGGTATTCTTTCGTATGGACATTAAAAATCTGCAACTCTTTGGAGAAATGTTTATTACATCCTTTGATCATTTAGGTAGATATAGCTTTAATACAAAAATACCAAATGCTGTGTAAGGTATGAGTTGAGTAAAAGGTCATTAGTAGACAGGGGAATTAAGGAAGATTTAAAAGACATTGCAAAATCAAAGTCTAGCCTCAAAGGAGTTGCAGGAATCCAGCAGGTAGAGACAGAGAGAAGGAGTATTCCAGGCAGACAGAACATCCTGGAATGTGTGGAGGAAAGTATGAGACAAGGCCAGAGGTGCCTTGGCCGTCGCCTGGTGGGGTAAGATGGCTGCCTCAGACACACACTGTGCAAACAGTCTCTCAGAAGTTCTAGACTCACCTCCTGGTCTATAATGTGACAATACTGACCACAATGGGATCACATGCACAAGGAAGGCCGTTGGTGTGGTCTCTGGCAGTCAGTGAACAAGCATCAGCAAAGCGCCTCCTGTGGGCCCTGCGCTGTGCTCAGCCCCTGCCCTCAAGGAGCTCCCTGTCTAACAGAGGCAACGTGCAAACCCTCTACCTACAGGACAGGTGGGAGGCACTTGCATTTCGGGCCTGGAAAAGGCTTCTTGGGGCACTTCTGTTCTCCCGGGTCTTTCAGAAGTCCCCAGCGGGCTCCGTGCTTTCAGGACCCAAGGCTGTAGTTCAGCTGGGTCAGGAATCTGGTGCTTTTATTCCATCCTTCCTTATCTTGGTTACAGCTCTGTCTTCAGGAAGGTCATTCTCCTCAGCAGAGAGATCAGAGCCCAGAGCAGCCCTGCCTTCTCTCTGGCATCAGCCTGCCCTCCCCAAGCTCAGGCCCGCTGCCTCCTCTGAGCCTTTTTCTCTCAATAGGGCTAGAAACAAACAAAACGGCCTTCCTGTCGTCCTTCACTTCCCTTTGTGGCCTCAGTTCATTCAGAGTTTTAGCACTCAACACGAGTCTGACGGGTCACATCACACTCCTACACAAAGCCCTATGGCTCCATTACCATCCATGCCAGACTCCATACCAAGGCAGGCAAGAAACAAGTATTTATTAAGCACCTACTGTGTGCCTGGCACTGTGCAAAGCACTTTTACAAATACTTTCTCATTTTAATCATCACAACCACCCGAGGAGGTAGGAGCTGTTGTCTTTACAGTTGAGGGAACCTGAGGCAGCCAGACTTAAGCCACTTTCCCTAGGTCACACAGAACTAGGTGTGTGAGGCTGACTGAAACTCAGGTCTTCCTGGGAGAGTGCTGGACCAGCAGGCAGGAAGACCAGGGTTTGAAGCCTGCCTGAGATACTTCTGTGCCTCAGTTTCCTCTCCTGTGAAATGGAGGCACCTACTTCACAGGGCTGCAGAGAAGCTCGGTGAGGCACTTTAAAAAGAGCCAAGTGCTAACTGTACAAAGTAGCTGCTGGCAGAGTGATGTCTCCAGGAGAGGTCTCTATACGTCCGGGCACAGCAGTCTCTCTCTCTCTCTCTCTTTCCCAGTTTGTCCTGTGTCCTCTATTGCTGCTGTCCCAAACTTCCCCACTCCTTGTGAGGGCATCACCACTTGTGTAGGCTGCCAGGCTCTCAAGCTCAGCATGCCATCCTCAATTCCTCCCGACTCCTCCTGCAGAAGGCCCATTCTCCCTACTCACACACCTTGCCTCAGCCCTCACCTCCTCTCGCCTGGGTGACTGCAATCCTTTCCTGAAATCTCCCTCCTCCCTGCAGCCCTGACCACTTCACGCCCCTACTTGGCCTCTCGGTTCAAAGACGAGCCCTTCCCCACCTCTTTCTCTCATGGCTGCTTGACATCCTCCCGTTTCTGCACGGCCCCCTTACAGAGGCCCTCCCTTCCGCAGGAGTGGCTCGAGCACCTGCCGGGTGTGCTCCCAGTGCACCTGCAGCTAGCACTTTGTGGTTATTTTTAAACATTCGTAGGGTGCTGAGGATGGCAGCTCTTTGTGAACTGGGATGGCTTCGTTTTTTGTCTTTGTATCCCCCGGGCCTAGAACAGGTCCTGGACTTGCTGGGTGCTTTGTAAGATGCTTTAATTGGTGATATCTGTTCTGTTCCCGGTCCTTGCTTCTCCTGCACATTTCTGCTTGGTAAATTCCCCATGTCCCCCGTTGGCCTCTTCAAACAAAGAGCATTTTCTTTCTGCGTCTCGGGCACCTCCTCTCCTGCAGAGTTTTAATCCCAGAAATGTCCGTCCCTAGTACCACCGCCTCGCGGTCATGCAGGCTCACGATTTCTCCTCCTCAGCTCTTCCCTGTCCTGCACTCCCAACATCCCATCGGCCACATAGTGATGTGGGCCTCACTACCTCTCTCACTCCCACTGCCACAGCCTCCCACCATGCTCTCTCTGCACCGAGTCTCCGTCCTCCCCACAGAGAGAGCTCACCTTCCTCAAACCAAAATTTTGACCATGTCTGTGGCCCCCTGTTCAAGAGACCTCAGTGGCCAGATGGTCTCCCGTCTAACCCCTAAATTACTGCCTCCAGTCAATCTTCCCAGGCACAGCACATCATCTCTCCCCATTATGGACTCCAAAAGGACTTTCTTGTGGTGCCTTACACGACGTCCCATCTCTCATGTCTGTGCCCTCCCCCACCCCCTCCGCCAGGAATCCCCAGCTCGCTTCAAAGCCCTGTCCAAACACCACTTCCTGTAGGAGGCCGAGTGTTGGTGCCTCCCTGCCCACACTTGGCTCTACAGAGATTTTATTTTAGACTCACTTATTGGTGGTAAGAACTGGGCATGTTTTGCTTAGGTCTCTATGTCCCTAGCGCTTAGCCCCATCCTGGGACACATAGGGCAGACAATAAATGCTTGTTGAATGGATGGAAGATGGACTAGAGGGGGAAGAAAGTGGACAAGGGAAGACCCTGAAACAGGCAGGCGAAGTTAAGAACAAAAGCACAGTAGCAGCAGGGAAAGAGGAGGGGAGTGACAGAAGAGAAACCGTGAAAGGAAAATCAGTAGAAGCAAGGGACAAAGAGGAATTTAAAATGACAAGAAAAGATTAGACAAGGAAGAATCAGACATGAATGCATTCGATTTGATTCCTGAGAAGTGGAACATGAATAAACAAGGACAAATTACTTGGGGGGAAAAACTCCCTGTGTGAAAAAGAACTGCTGGGAAAATAAGAAAACAGTTTGGTAGAAATGAGCTCCAGATCAACATCTTACACCACACACCAAAACAAACTCAAAGTAGATCTACCACCTGAATATCAAAACTCACACCATAAAAAATTCAGAACAGAGTTGGATTAGGTAGCTGCCACAGCTGCGGCTAACTGAGCAGGTGAATCTTTAGCCAAACAACACTAAGCATCTCTAATAAGGGTCTGATATCCAAAATACCCTCCTTTCCACTCCACTCCACTCCACTCCCTCTGCCAAGAAAACCCCAATCGGGCCACGAAGGGTCAGATGTGACTGGTCAACAAACCACCACAAATCCAAAACACGTGGGGAGCTGACAAAAATATAAAACCAAGAGCCATTCCCCACTCGATGTGGTGGAATAACAGGAAATGACCCTATGAAAGACCGTGTCCAATCCCGAATGCAAATCAAGCCGACGCTGAAGTTTATCTAGAAAACCGGCAAGGAGGACAAAACGTGCTGGAGGCATCACAGAAGGACAGGTAAACGAACGCACGGTTAGTGTGGCTATTAACTGGTCCAACCACTCTAGAAAGCAATTTGGAAGTAAGCTAGCATCAGTTACTGGAATCGTCCCTCCCCTTGACTCGGAGATCCCACGGCCAAGGAAGTCAAAGATAGGGGGAAAAAAAAAAGGTCCCATGTATACCAAAAGGTTTATTAACACTTTTTGTAGTAGCAAAGAATTGGAAACAAAACCCCCATTAATTGGAGGAATGGCTAAACAAAGAACACTACTGCGCCAAAACAATAAACATGAAGAATTCAGAGAAGTATGAGATGCATGAAATAATCAGACACAAAGTGAACAGAAGAACAAAACAAGAGCACAGTGATCACAGCAATGTAAACAGAAGGGGAAAAGGCACCCCCAGAAATCCACACTGAAATCGGCACGATTCGATGGCCAAGCTTGGCCCCAAAGAAGAGAGAAGAGGTGTCTCTTCCCCTCTCTGCGGTGGGAATGGATTCTGCACACTGTCGCGTGGGCTGGTTTGGCGGCAAGGGAAGGATCTCCAGCACAGGAGGCAGGGGAGGGATGCATTTAGAAATGAACGTATTACAACGGCAATTATTAATTTAAAAATATAAAAATAAAAATAATAATAACAAAGTTTTCAAATATGAGACAGCATGAATTGGGATACCAGTGACAGGAAATCAAACAAAAGCCACGAATGACTCTGATGAATGACCTGAGGTGGTGTGGGTGTGAGAGAGAGAGAGAGAGTGTGAGTGTGTGTGTGTGTGTGTGTGGTCACTTCCTAACGATGACACAGAAGCCTTGGGAATGAATGAGATTCCAAAACCTTGGGGGTTGGCAAAAGGAGAAATCTGCAAAGGAGAAAGAAGTGAAAGATGCTGTGACGCAGAAGGAGGAGAGAGCATCTAAGAGGAAAAGAGCACAGCCTCTTTCTTGGAGTCAAAGGAGACGAAAGATGAAGACCAGGGAAAGAGCCCTTGGGACAGACGACTCAGAGGGCGCTTTGAATGTGATACAGAAGATGCAGTGCAGGTCTTGGGAGAAAACAGATTTCGAGGGGTTCAGAATACATAGGGTGACATCAGCCACTTTTACAGGAAGTGTGGCAATGAGACAGGCCCGCTGTCCAATGGGCGGCGGAGGGCTGGAGGGCCACCCTTGCATTCCTTTGTTTTTGAAGTACCCTAGGCCAATGGGATGAGACTGGAAAAAACATTAAAGGTTCATGAGAGCGGGGAGTGCGTTAGGGTCAGGTCCTGGTGAAACTGGCAGGAAGGATGGATCCAGGGTATAGCTTGAGCAGAAGGGAGAAGACTTGAAGACCTGAGAATTTTCAAAAGCGAAGTGCAAAGAGTGCCTCTCAAATCACCAGCTCTTCTTTCGGGGTCTGGGTAGTCTAAGCCTAGGGCAGAGATGGCAGGGAAATGAGAGAAGAAAAGGTTTGGAAAAACCAAGGCCTCAGGCTAGGATGAACACATGCTTCACCTGCGGACTAATTCTCAATCAAGGGTACCCCCCGAAGTCTGGCTCACATTCATTACGTTCGTGAGGTTTTGCCTCGCAAGGCGCCTCTGCGGGACGGATCCCGACCGTCAGGAGCCACGGGCTCTCCCCACCGCCCTCACTCAGAGTTTGTTTCCAGTGTGCACGACCTGATGTCGGCTGAGGTGTGTGCTCCGGCGGAAGGCCCTCCCGCAGTGATGGCACTCGTAAGGTTTCTCTCCCGTGTGAATTCGGTGATGGGAAATGAGAGAGGAAATGTGATTGAAGGTTTTCCCGCAGTCATTGCACTCGTACGGTCTTTCGCCCGTGTGAATTCTGGAGTGGAACGTGAGTGAGGAGCTGTGGTAGAAGGCCTTGCCACAGATGCTGCACTCATAGGGCTTCTCTCCGGTGTGAATCCTGTAATGGGAGGTAAGGGAAGAAAAGTGGTTGAAGGCCTTGCCGCATTCATTACATTCATAGGGTCTCTCTCCAGTGTGAATCCTGTGATGAGAGGTAAGGGAAGAGCTGTGGTTGAAGGCCTTGCCGCATTCATGACACTTGTAAGGTTTCTCTCCGGTGTGAATCCTCTGGTGTCGCGTCAGCTGTGCGCTCTGGCGGAAGGCCCTTCCACACTCGCTGCACTCGTAAGGTTTCTCCCCAGTGTGAATGGTCTGGTGCTCGATGAGGTGTGTGCTCCGGCAGAAGGCCTTCCCACACTCATTACACTCATACGGCCTCTCTCCAGTGTGCGTCCGCTGATGGGAGTTGAGAGAGGAGACGTGGTGGAAGGCCCTCCCGCACTCGGGACACTCGTACGGCCTCTCTTCAGTACGAGGCCTCTGACTTGGGAATTTCTCTCTGCTGTGAACGGTCTGGTGGAAGGCCTTCCCAAGCTCATGACACCCACAAGGTTCCTCTTCGGGATGCCTTGGCTGATACTCAGAAAGACCTGAATTGCAACTAAAGGAGTTTCCACATTCCTTCTGCTTGGAAAGTATCTTCTTGGGGCAGATTCCACCACCTTTACTGAGGTCTGAACACAGACTGAGACTCCTTCTGTGTATACCGCATTTATAGAGAGTCTCGACCACAGAGACCTGCTGCTGGGGAAGCAGGGCGGACCCCGTTCTGAAGCTGTCGCCAGACCTCCACTCCTCCCCGGGCTCTTCCCTCGGAGGCGTCCTCTGCGGGGCTCTCGCCTGCCTGATCTGCTCCATCTCTCCTCCAGCAGCCCTTCCCCAGGCGTCTCCTAGCATGGAGACAGGAGGACCACGCCCCGGCAGTCGCCCCGTGACAGGGTCCAGCTTTGGAGTGGGCTCCGCGGTTCCTGGCTCAGGTTCGGAATCTGAAACAAAGAAAAACACGTCAGTGTCCCCTCTTCCCCATGCTGGACTCAGCCCTGTCTTCTGCCTCCCCGCTCGAGAAAAATGACGGTCAGACTCCTGGTAACAGAATGAACAATCATGCCATCTTAGGTCTCTATAGGCACTTAGAGCATATAAGAACCTTCCACACTCACCCTCACAACTTTCGAAGGTAGCTGCTCAGTTATGACATTTTCCAAATGAGGAAACTGGGGGCTCAACATAAGTTAATGACGTGCTTAAGGTCACCACTGGTAAAGGGTCATAATGGGTGGAGGGTCAGATTTGGAGTCAGGAAGGCCTGGGTTCAAATCTCTCCTCAGGTACAAATTACCTGTGTGTCTGTGGGCAAGGAACTCAGCCTCTTCTCAGCTGTAGTCCTCTCATTTTAAGAAGGTGATAATTAACAGTGTCTACCTCCCAGGGCTGCTGAAAGGATCAGATGAGTGCTATACAACTAGGACTGATGAGTACTATTATTTTATAGCAGTAATGACATCATTGCTGTCACCACCGTAGCCGCCACTTAGCAGTCCCAAAGCTGGGACCAGAACCATGGTCTTCCGATTCCCAGGCCACACAGCCCTTTCTCCTGCACCCCAACGGCTCTCAAAAAGGGAGAATCCCTACCCGGGGACGTTCCAGCAGAACGGAGGCCAAGAGAGGAAACTCAAGGGGCCACCTTCATTTCAACATAAACAATGACTATTCCGATAATCTGACTTGCCCCAAATCAGGTCGCTTCACAGACAGAGTTTTACAATGGAAGGGGCAGAAGACTGTTCTAGGATGGTAAGAAAACAGAGGCAAAGAGTTCTCAGACGTGCCCAGGATCACTAGCAGAGGCAGCACTTGAACCTGGATCTCCCAACTTCCACCCCAGCAGTCTTGTGGCCACACCATGTTGCCCTCCCCCCATTTAGACAGTGAGTGGACAGTCACCAAGGAGGTCCCTCATTCCTCAGCCTTTGGTAATCTGGCTTCCAGCCTCTTCATTCAGCTGAGATTCCTCTCTCTCCTCTGTCTTTCCCCCCTCTTCTCTTCCCTTCCTCTCCTCTCTCTTCTCCCACCTGTCTGTTTCTTCTCAGTCTCTTTTGTTCTGTGGACGCTGGGAGTCCCCCCAGACTTAGCCCTGGGTACTCTTCCCTCTCTATGTCATCTCTCAGTGATTTCATCAGCTGGCCTGATCGTGCCACTCTGTGCTTGATGACGTCCCCCTCTGTCATAGGCCTGCGCACCGCTGGCTGGCCACAGCAATAGTAGCCCATCAGACCTGGGACCACACCAATACCTGTTCTCTTCCCTGCTGCCGCCCCCTCCCCTGACTGTGGCTCTTCCTGACTGCCCATCCCAGGCGCTCTTGGTCTAGCTTGGGCATACTCCAAGGCTCCGGCCTCCTCCTGGGAGCTCGCTCTGCCCTTGGCTGCTCAGCTTTGCTTTGCTCTCTCACGCTTTTCTCTCCTCAGTTTCCTGTCCTCTTGGCATGGGTGCCTCAGCTATCTCTAAGTTCTTTCTCTCGAAGAGGTCATCAACTCCCACAGGTTCAGGCACCATCTTGATGTAGATGATTCAGATTTGTAGAGGACGTGTGAAGCACTGGTCAGAATGCTGGACTCAGGACCAGGAAGATCCAGGCTCAAATCCTACTTCTGATACTGGCTCATATGAGCACCAGCAAGTCACTCAACTGCTATGCCTCAGTTTCCTCATCTGCAAAAGGAGGGGCTAGACCAGACAGCCTGCTCTCTATCTATGGTCCTATGACTGAGCCCTAGTATCTCTTCTGAACCTCAGTGACGTAGATCATTACCTGCCTTCTGCATTATCAATTGTCACTTTTGGATATCCAATAGGTCCAAAACTGAAACCAGTATCTATCCCTTAAATCTGTCTATCTGGGCAATCCTCTCAGTGCCTCAGACTCATATCCTCAAAGTCATATGGGGCAGCTAGGTGGTACAGTGGGAAGAGCATCAGCCCTGGAGTCAAGAGGACCTGAGCTCAAATCTGGCCTCAGACACCTACTAGCTGTGTGACCCTGGACAAGTCACTTAATCCTGATTGCCTCCAACAGCCCCCCCCTCCCACCCAAACACATCCCCACTATCCAATTCTACCAGCATCACCTTTCACAGATGTCTCCTCTTTTCCAATGATGTAATCAACACCCTAGTGGGACTTCTTAGTGACCTCCACCACTAGGACTGCCTCTCTCCCCTCCCAAACCACCTCCACCCTGTGGGCAAAGGAACCATGCTGGACCCTGAACTCCACACTCCATGTCCCACTTCTACACATTCAGAGAAGTCATTCTCCAAACCCAGATCTGCACTGGTGGGCTGGGTCCCCACAGGACAGCTGGCTCCTTGTCTCCTCAGGACTCTACAGGTAACTCTGCGATGTTTTTCCCCCCAACTTATGAGCCCTGATTGGTGTACTCCCCCCTCAATTGATTATCAGTTGATAAAAATTAGGCTGCAAGGTTTAACCAGTTTTTAGGAGACAGTATTTACGAAGGTGGTACGGTACAAAACATTATGCCAAACGAAGTGCACGCTGTCGCATAAAAGCACTCAGAATCCAGGAGAAAACAGCACGTTGTGTGGCGAAGCTCTTTCCTGCCCTTAGCGGAGCCCTCGGGATGTTCCTTTCTGACCAGGTGTCCTCATTAGCGCCCAATGCAGGCGCTACTCTCAGCTATCCCAAGGACACTTCTGAGATGCCCACAGGAGTCCAAACTCTTCTATTTGTTCCAAGTTAACAAGGTTAACCTTGGGTTAAGGGGGAAAGGGGCAGAGCAGGTGGCTGCAGGCTTTCCTTCCCTACCTTCAAGCAAATCTCCCTCAGGGGCTGGGCTGAACTTCCCTCTCCTCCAAGGTGGCCGGTCTCTCAAAGGCCCGGATTCTGAACTCGCTACTTTATCCTGCCCCCACCAGGAGTGCCCGAGTCTCTTCTGCAGGTCCCAATAAACTTCTTGGGTACAGTCATTTCATTTCATCTGATGGCTTTTATTCATGGGCAGCTAGGTGGTGCCATAGTGCATAGAGCCCTGGGCCTTCGCAAGTTCAAATCTGGCCTAACACTTACTGCTTACTAGTGACCCTGGGCAAATCATTTAACCCTGTTTGCATTAGTTTCCTCATTGTTAAAATGAGATGGAGAAGGAAATGGCAAACTACTCCAGTCTCTTTGCCAAGAAAACCTCAAATGGGGTCTCAAAGAGTTGGACACGACTGAAAAACAACTCAATAAAAATGGTTTTATCCCTTCCAAAATGACTGAGGATTTTTATGCACCCAGTTTAATGCCTTTGATTCATCAAGTCAGTAAAGGTCTGATCACCTGATACAGGTGTCAGCATTTTGTGAGTTGCTCTAAGTGGGGTGTGGTTATTGATTACTTCCACTGATACTGCCTCAGCTCTTTAAACCTGAAATGCATCACCTCAGACTTCTCAGGCGCTGGACCCAAGGTCCAGCCCCGATATGAATCAATATTTGGCCTTAAACAATCGATGCTGGCTCCCGTCTCCTCCTTCCTGGCTTTGAAACAAGAGGAACTGTGAGCTGTCTAGAGGGCCCCCATGATCACAAGCACATGTCCTGCCTAGGCAAGCCTGTGTCTGGGGTAAGACCACCCCATTTCTGTGTCTTCTCTCCTCTGATATTTAGCCAGGCGTTCCAGCAGATAAGACAATGGGTCTGGAGTCAGGAAGACCTGAGTTCAAATCTGGCCTCAATGCTGCCTGCCTCAATTTCCTCAAATGTAAAATGGGGATCATAATACCATCTACCTCACAGGGTTGTTGTGAGGATTAAATAATGTTTGTAAAGTGCTTAGCACAGGGCCTGGCACATAGTGGGTAGGTCAAAACTGCTTGTTCCCTTTCCTGTCAAAACCTGAAAAGGCTGGAGGCTTTGGTCTGAGAGGTTGCATCTCTCAATATCAAGAAAGGCAGCAGCAGGGGAAAACCCCCATATCTACACCTTCAATTACTTCATGGGGGTACCTAAGCATCAAGGGAGGCGTTGGCATCAGAGAAACCAGGGAAGAGAAAATTCAGATTGGCATTTGGGCTCAGTAGGGTGAAATGTGAAAAGACTACAACGGCTTTGCAAAAGCCGTTTAATATCCAACAAGGTTTGGATACTAGCAACCTAAATGAACTGCTTAATTCAGTTCTAGTCATCCTGTAATGCATGGGGTATAGTGTGTGTGTGTGTGTGTGTGTGTGCGCGCGCGCGCGCGTGCACGCACGTGCGTTTAGCATTTCCTTTTCTGAGTGGGAATAAAGAATCTCTTCCATACGTATCTGCTCCATGTCTGTGTAGAAGTTATTTCTTTTACTGATGTCTCCCTAGACTACAGCCAAAAGTAACTTTTTTTTTATTTTTTGGCTAGGCAATGGGGTTAAGTGACTTGCCCAGGGTCACACAGCTAGTGAGTGTTATGTGTCTGAGGCTGGATTTGAACTCAGGTCCTCCTGACTCCAAGGCCAGAGCTCTATCCACTGTGCCACCTAGCTGCCCCCACCAAAAGTAACTCTTCAGGAAACAGTAAGCCAAAGAGCGGGCTGGTGGTGAGCCCAATCCCCTAAGAACGACCTTGGCACACAACCACAGAGGAAGAGGAGGGTGCCCTGAGCTCCTCAGAGCACTGACAGGGCTGCCTCTAGTCACCGGGTGAGATGAAAACTACCTATTGAACAGAATGGACTGGATGGAGAGGCAGCAGAGGTGGTCTATTAGTGCCTGAATTTGTACAGACACTGCAGATGGGCACCAGGCAGGGCCCAGAACTGAATACAAAGAGAGCAAGGGATAAATGGTCAAAGGGTATGAACAGGCAGTTTTTAGACAAAGTAACCAAAGCCATCGATGGTCAAATGAAAAAATGCTCCAAAGCACTAGTGATTAGAGAAATGCAAATCAAAACAACCCTGAGCTACCACATCACACCTATCAGACTGGCCAACATGACA